CTTGGGTTTCTTTGATGCTGTCTGCTTGTGATTTATTTTCACCTGAGGTTTGGTATACTCTTGGCTTATTTATCTGCTTGTGGCTTTAAATACAAAGGGATGTGAATGTTATATTGATTTCTTTATATCAAGTATGAGCTTCTATTTGGTTAGACCTTTCTTACCTATTCTTTTACTTTCTTGTACATAGGATACTCTTTTTATCTCCTTCCATTCTTCAATTTTTAAAACCTTCTCATCTTTTTCAAAACCTTCTTGTTTTTAATAAACCTGAATCGCTTTCATAATAAACCTTGACCTTGTCAAGTGACTTTTCAAACTTCCTTTTCTTTTCTTAATAAATGCTAAACTACATAAGCATATTCTAACATTTTCAAAAAGGCTAAAAAACATTCAATCTCATTCAAACATTTTTATGCCTCACACACCTTTTAACCTTTAAAACCTTTTTCAAGATTAGACATGATTCGTTTATAGTCGAGATGTCATTCTCCTATCTCCATGGTTGTAAGGATGTCGACTTTTCCACTTGAGTACTAGAGGCGCTCTCAAACCCCCACTCTTGCTGATGCATTGTCCCTCTTTCGTATACCTTGTGGGCGATTAGTTAAGATTTCTCTCCTAAAAATGATGACTTATCTTTTCATTTAAAAACAATCAACACGCAGTTTTGTTCTTTTCTAGGAGAAATACGATTCTCATGATCCCTTATTGCACGAAGAGGGTACGTAGGCACAAAAGTTCACAACCGCGGCATGCGCAATAATAAAAAAAATATTTCTTTTGTTTGTAAATATTCATTCATTCTTTCCCTTTAGCAAGTAAGTCTTTAGTTACACACTCTCTGATTAAAACAAACAAAGTGGATCTTGTGGAGTACCGTAGATGCTTAGGGTGCTAATATCTTCCCTTTGCATAACCGAACCCCGTACCGTGATCTCCATTTCATTTCATTTTGGTTTTTATCTGCTCTTTTCCCATTTTCTCTTTGGAAACAATAAAGTTCAGTGGCCAATTCATTGTGTTGAGATAAGTCAATTAATGTCTTAGTCTCAAATCTTTCCTAAGTGGGTCAATCCTAGCTTTGTTTGTTTATTTTCTTTGTGTGTTTATATATTCTCCCTACTCGCTTTTTATTTACTGCATTCCACTATTTTGTGTATATGTTGTGCTGGATTTTCTGGTTTTTCAGGTTGGGTGGGATGTTACTGTATGGTAAAAGGCCTATTACCTAGGCCAGTGTACACATAGGTTTAAAGTGGATACTAATGTCGAATCTCGTGTTCCTTTGACATGTGTGAGAAGGCATGAGACACCATACACATACAAGGTTCTCTTGACGATGCCTTTGTCTTGCACCCTTTGTGCAAAGACAAGGTGTTTGAATAAAGGGCTCTCGACTCTGGTTGCCATTAGGATTCCTATTCTATACAAGACTAGAACCCACATGTGGGATGGAGATGGGACATGAAAACGTGCCTTTATCCTACCTAGACAATGTTGAACCTTTAAACATGTGATCATGTTGCAGTGCTTCACATTACATGACATTGCATATCCTTTGCATCCTTTGCATCATTTTGCATACATCTAGGTTGCCTAGGATCTCAATCCCAGATGTTTCTTTCTCCATAGTTATATGTCTACTGTCAAACGGGTTCCTCGACTCTTTGAATTTGAAGCATGTCTCAAAAAACTATAAAAGAACTTCAATGAGACCAAAAGCTGTTAAGAGATGAGGTCAACCAGGTGAAGGGCCAGATGAGCCAAATCATTGAAATTTTGCAAGTCTTGTTGAAAATAGAAGTTAACTCTCCATCGATCGTTACAACACAAGTGGACACTCTTCTAGCCTCTTTCTTTGCTATACTTCAGCTCGGGGGAAGCACCATTCAGTGTTTACTTATGTACCAATGTACAGTCCATCCCCAAAGGATCTTCCTCAACATGTATTTTCAAAGGTGTTTCAGTGATAATGTTGAATCAGTTCAGAAGAGTCCATTGTTCACCTCAGGGTTAGGAAAAAGAAGAGTTGATAAGGCAACAATGAGATCTTTTCACGGAAAGAAGACTTCAAGTACTTGCAAGGGGAAACCATCTGATATGCCTCCCATAACTCTACATCAACAGCCATTGTTTGTTTCTCCCTGAGACAACATGAACCAGAATCAGAACCACAATGTTGGAAATATGGGCCAATTTGATTTTATCTCTATGTATTACACTAATTGTATCCTCGCTTAGTTCAACTAGGTTTGATCATAACAAGGTCTTTAACTCCTCCAAATCATCTCCAGTTGGATTCAGATATGACCTTCACTGTGAGTTCCATCAAGGAAGTGCCGATCATGATTTGGAAAACTGCTTTGTACTGAAGGCTAGAGTGCAAGAATTGGTGAAGGCGAAGATTCTCTCCTTCAAGGATACAAGTCCTAATGTTTCCAATAATCCTTTTCCAGGGCTGGACAAGTGAAGCTTCAGTCAGAGCCAAAATAACTTCCTAAAGCCAGTGTTTCAGACAAGACAACTCATCCTTGTTATTGATTAGTCACTAGGCCATGTTTCCTTCTGTTTACATTTTCCTTTATTGTTAGTGATCTTATCAGGAGCAAGTATCTTCCAGATCCTATTGTGAATCAGTTCAAGATTTATTACTCAGCGTGAGTTATTCTCAGAATTGGTTAGCCAGAAGATTTCCTTCAAGACTCGTAATGGGGAAATCCTTTCCCCCAGTCATTTCAAGAGCTGAAGCCATGATCGGTTTATTTCCAACAGTCATTTCAAGAACTGAAGCCATGATCAATTTATTCTCAGCAATAGTCCACTGTAGCTATGATCAGTTTATCCTTAACAATTATCTAATTTAGGGCAATCCCCAAGTAGCTCTTCAGTCGCTCCTCAAAGGATCATCAGTTTGATACAATTCACAAGCGTCACATAAGTGTTTTTTAAGACATTTTCTTTCCAAGCAGAGTTGGCATTCGTGTTGAGGAATTAGAGTTCCAATCTTACCTCTACAAAAGAGTCAAGCTTTGTTGTCGTAAACGCCTGTATTACATGCATATATCATTCATATATCATGCATAGCAAAATTCATATATCATGCACAGTTTGAAGAGTGATTCATGCATATTTGCATTTCCCGAGAACATGTTTCTATCAACGTCTTACCTTGAGGTTAAAGTCCAACTTACTTGACACCTACCAAAGCAGATGTTAGTCCGTCTGTTTCTCTTTTTTGTCCAGTGTCATTCCTGGATGACTCTGATGTATCTTCACATTTGGTCTCATTCCACATCTAATATTTTCCTAGATGTTTCTAATGTATTTTCCAGAGAGTTTCTCCTTTCATCCAAAGAAAATCATTGGATGTCGTGGTTCTTTTCCGTCCACTTTCATTCCTTTATGACTCTGATGTATCTTCAGATTTGGTCTCATTTTGCATCTAATGCTTCTTCTAAATGTTTCTGATGTATTTTCGAGAGAGTTTCTCCCTTTGTCTAAAGCAGATTATTGGATGTCATGGTCTTGTCCGTCCAGTTCCATTCCTGGATGACTCTGATGTATCTTTAAAAGTTTTTTTGATGTATTTTCCAGAGAGTTTCTCGTCTCATTCAATGTCATTCTTGGATATCGCTACTTGCCTTTTCAGGGTTTATCTCCCTCTACTCAAGTATTTCTGATTACTCCTTGTCACCCTGACGGATATCCAGAATATCTTGTATTCTCCAATGTGTCTTCTCACGTCATATCATTCAACTACCACAAATTTCCAGTTTCGAGTCTTTCCAATAATTCCCACAAAGTTTGTCTTGTATCATACATCATTATATATATATATATATATATATATATATATATATATATATATATATATATATATATATATATATATATATATATATATATATATATATATATATATATATATATATATATATATATATATATATATATATATATATATATATATATATATATATATATATATATATATATATATATATAGTATATATATATATATATATATATATATATATATATATATATATATATATATATATATATATATATATATATATATATATATATATATATATATATATATATATATATATATATATATATATATATATATATATATATATATATATATATATATATATATATATATAATATATATATATATATATATATATATATATATATATATATATATATATATATATATATTTATATATATATATATATATATATATATATATATATATATATATATATATATATATATATATATATATATATATATATATATATATATATATATATATATATATTTATTTATATATATATATATATATATATATATATATATATATATATATATATATATATATATATATATATATATAAAGAAAAGAATCACGCATCCATCGCATTCTCGCCACACTTCACCCACCTCATACCCATTGCATCTCAGGGAAAAATTCCGGGTTCTTTGATATTTAACTATCTCTCACTGCGATTATATAAAGTCCGACCATCTTCCTATCATATAGTTAAAGATATTAAATAGGGGCAGCTGTTGCACCCCAAATTTTACTCTGAGTTTTCTCATTCGCATTTGTTTATATCTGAAATCATAAAATTTAATTTTCATTCGCCTTGTTATATTTTGTGCGTATTTTGCATAGTTTTATCTCAATTTCAATATTTATTCGATTTTCTCTTAGATTTTTATTTCCGTTCCTTTTTTATAATTAAGAAAAATATAAAAAAATGTATATATCTTTTTCTTTTTATTCATCATTTAAATTAAATTTTTAATTTTAATTTTTAATCTTTAGAAAAAATAAATAAATAAAATATGTGTTTTTATTTAATTAAGTTTTAAAATAATAAAAGATTTGTATATAAAAAAGGTTGTTTATTTTTATTTCTTTGTTTTATATTTAAACTTAGAGATATCATAGAGGGATTCTTTGGTGATTGGCTAAAAGCTAAAGATTGATAAGGTTTTTGTATGGTGATATATGCGGGGATCGAAACAATTCGAGGGGGAGGCACATAACCAAAACCCATAAACTGACAGAGTCAAGGGGGAGGCACATAACCAAAACCCATAAACTGACGGAGTCAAGGGGGAGGCACATAACCAAAACCCATAAACTGACGGAGTCAAGGGGGAGGCACATAACCAAAACCCATAAACTGACGGAGTCAAGGGGGAGGCACATAACCAAAACCCATAAACTCACGGAATCCAGCTTCCTTGACTCAATCTTCAAACTTCTGTTCATCTCTCCTCTCAACAAAACAACATCACCTTCAATACCATTCCACCCGTCTCTCTTCAACATCAACTGTCACAAACAGCTCTTCTCCCCCGTGTTCACCACAAACCTTTCTCAAACTGACCGAGACTCACGTCAATCCACCTTCTGGCGCCAGTCTTCCCCATTTATCATCACTGAAGCAAACCTCACGCTTCACTCTGAAACCGTTCATCAACCACCTTCGACAACAACCAGCCAACTTCCGTCCGGAACCACACCTCATAACTACCAAACATACTCCTTCAATCTATGTTCGTGACACAACCTTCTTCAATTTCACGGACCCACCGCCTGCCATTCATACCCCTTCCAGCCAACTTCTATGGTGATGTTGTTATATTGTTGATGTTAATTTGAGTGGCAGAGTTTTGAAACAATTGTATTATAATTGATTACATTTTTGTGGGTTTAGTGTTGAATTGAATGATGAATTATTGTTATTGTTCTTTGTTTAAATAGATGTTAGCATGATTATGATAAATGGAAGGATGGATTGTTGATGTTATTGATTTGTTTGGTTTGAATTAGAATGAGAACCTTGATGTCATGATGATGATTTTTTTTTGTTTAATTGAGGTTTGAAGTTTGTTTGTTTGGTTTAATTTGAATAACTCTTTTGATATCAATACCATATTGTTTGTGTTAAACTTGAACATTAGTTTTGATATCAATCCCCATTCCATTTGTGTGGAGTTATGGTGTTTATTTATTGGTGGATATATTTGGATTATTGATACCATGTTATTCAAGTTAGCTTTGAGGTTATTTGAGTTGAAATTTTTGAGCCTCATTGTGTTTGCATAGTGGCTGCTCAGAATTCGGTTTATTCATTTAAATCTTGGTTTTGAATTTAAGTTTGTGTCATGTTGATTTGAACTAATTCGAAGGAATCGTTGATGATGTTTTGGTTGTATTTCATTTTGAATTCGAACGTTGAAGTCTTGAGTTGCGATATCGATGGTTTGCCGGTAGCGTTTGATTGATTTAAATTGAATTTTGAGCTTATATTTGTTCATGTTCATGGCTGCCCGGGTTTTGATTTATGTGATAAAAGATTATTTAGAACTTGACTTCTCATGTTTGGAATTGAGTAATAAACTGAGTTGTTGATTCCGGTTTCTATTTATGATTTAAAATAATGTTTATCGTTGCGTTCGTTCGACTTTGAATCTGTTTAGCACAATGTATACATTGCTGATTTTTGTATTTACATTGAATAATTAAAAAAATTCTTAGTTCTTGATTGAAAGAATATTCATTTGTTCATGTAATGTGATTTAAGTTTCATTTGGTTTCAATTCAATTGTGATTACTAACTTGTTTCTTGGTGTTGGCTCCTAAATTCGACACCCTTGTTTTTATTAATATCAGCCATTAAAGCTGAGAGATGGTTTCGACCAGCTGGGTCTGTCGAAATGCCCATCAGAAGATGGCAATATACTTAGAGAATTTCTTCCAAGGGAGAATTTGGTTGCCTTCGACGTCGAAGGTGTGGCTCGTCGAAGATTCCTCTCGACGAAGGTGTTCGATTGCTCAGAGTGGGACGGTTTGAAATTCAAACGTTTGGAGGGAAAACGGTTCCCAGCGGTTACCAAGTGCAACGTGCAAAGATCTGGAGCGTCGAACGCTGAGAACGTGCCAAGTGGAGTCATCTCGAAGCAGTGTAACTGCCCGACGGTTACTTGGGATGTTTAGTATAAATATTAGTAGTTCACGCAGTTTTTCGCGTGTGTTCACAATTATATACAAGTCACTCATATAGATTCGAGTACCCAGCGTGTGAGAAAGAATTGTTGAGAATGTATGTGTGAAACACCACTTTATTAATCAAAGTCATTTATTTTCCAGAACTTTACTTGCTTTCTCCTTTACTTTTCCAGTCGAAAGCCTTTATTTCAAGCCTTCCTTTATTTTATCAAGTTCTCTTCTTCATGCAATTTACATAAAGCTTCTTTATTTTCTTGTCATTTAACCATTGTCAAACTTAATCATAACCCCAAAATCAACCATGTCTTAGGATCAATCTGATCGATCCTGCGAGTCACCAAATAAGTAACCATTTGGAAGATCAGCGGTTGTTTACCAATTCCCACGGTAAACAAATTGGCACACCCGGTGGGACCGTGTGTTGATTTTGAAGTTTAATCTGTTTACACAAAATATCGTCTTTTTCAAGGAGTGTTGTATGTTATTGAGAAGTGGTAGAATATACACTAACAATACCAATACTGCCAGAAGAAGAGAAGAGATGGCGAATCCGCCAAACAATAACGAAATCCCACAAACGAATGTGGGAACAACGGTTATCTCGGCCGTAAGTGAAGCGATAACCGCTGGTTCAACACCAGCAGTAATGGTCACAACGACGGGGCCATTACCTCCGTTCACTGGCCCCAGAGTGCCTTTGGGAACTCCCCCACCAAGGGGAAATCTGGGCACAAGGCCTTATGTTCCCCCAGGATTTATGACAGGCGGTCATAATTGAGAACCACTCTATGGCATGCCAATGTCTGATTTGGCTAGCCTAACGAACGCAACGTCCACTTTTTCAGACCCTTTAGTGAGTGCCTCTTCGCCACTCCATGGTTCTGGAGTAGGTATGGCGAACAGAAATAGGACCCAACTCTTAGGAGGAACGTCCCAAGTAGCACATGGCCTTACAAATGCCTCGACAGCAGTCTTGAGGCAACAAATGGACGAAAGCAACCATGATATGGTTCAAATGTTGGCACAAACTTTAAGTACAGTGATGAATCCTCTAATACAAAACACCACCCAATCGAATCAGCAGATGACAGCGCAAATGACGCGTTTGGCTGATTTCTTTGGAGTACCCCAACCTATTCGACAGCCCCAAAGGGCGCCAATAAGGGGAAACCAAGGTATACTCTTAGAGGAAGAAACCACTATCAACCAAGGCCAGCAGCCTGTCGAAGAAAACCTTAGGGCACGATTGGAGCAGCCTGTCGAAGAACCTAGGGTAATAACCCCAGAGGTAAGGTTAGTTAACAGAAACCAAAATGCTGACGAAGTAGTTCAGCATATCCAATACCAAAATATGGGTTTGGAAAATAATCTGGCAGCCATGATCGAAAGAATCATGACTCAAAATGGGATGAACATGGGCTTTCGTAGGCCCAACTTCACATCCCCACTGTCAGAATATGTGTTACAAACAGACTTACCTCCTAGATGTAAAGTCCCTAAGTTCACTAAATTCTCTGGGGACACGACATAATCTACTGTCGAACATGTGGCGAGATACTTGATCGAAGCAGGAGATATTTCAAACAACGAAAACCTGAGGATTAAGTACTTCCTGAGTTCTTTAACAAAGAACGCTTTTACTTGGTTTACAACTCTCCCTCCCAATTCGATCCATCATTAGACCCAGTTGGAGAGATTGTTCCATGAGCAATTCTACATGGGACAAACCAAGATAAGCCTGAAAGAATTGGCCAGTGTAAAGAGACGTTTCACTGAACCTATAGACGAATATCTAAATAGGTTTAGGTTGCTCAAAGCAAGGTGTTTTACACAAGTGCCAGAACATGAGTTTGTCAAAATAGCCGCAGGCGTCTTAGATTATTCCATTAGGAAGAAGTTAGACACTCAATACCTGAGAGACATGGCACAACTGGCCGATAGAGTTCGACAGGTCGAACGCCTTAAAGCTGAGAAAGCCAAGGCAACGAAAACTCATAAAAGAGAGCGGATAGCGTATGTTGAGATGGATGACGAAGATCCAGAAACCTTCGACGAAACTATAATTGTCGAAGAAGGCGAAGTCGATTTAGCGGAACTAAAACAAGGACCACCATATTCTTGCAAACTGTTAGTCCCCTCAAGTGGAAAAAATCCCACTGGTCCAGAAAGGACCAACGATAGGTTCCCCAAAAAGACTTATAGTTTTGATATTACAAAATGTGATGAAATCTTTGACTTGCTTGTAAAAGATGGCCAAATGATAATACCCCCAGGGGTAAAAGTGCCTCCTCTTGATCAAAGAAAGAAGAGAGGCTTTTGTAAATATCATAATTTTCTGGGCCATAAAACGTCTCAATGTTTTCTTTTCAGGAATCTTGTGCAAGACGCTATCGAAGAAGGGAGGTTGAAGTTTGCTGACAAGACCCCCATGACTGTGGACTCTAACCCGTTGCAGGCTGAAGCCAATTATGCTGAACCTTCAGAGGTGAACGTGATCGAGGCATCCAGAAGCCAGTCGAAGAGGCCAGGAATCACAATGGTCGAAGTCTCAAAGGACCATGTCAACATGCCAATCATTGACAGTTTTTCTGGGAATCTATCCAGAAAGACAATTGAAGCGGTTCAGAAAGCGGTCGAAAGCCCAAAGCTGGAGACAGTTGGAGCCCAAAAATCTGGAACAAAACCCAGTTCTCACTTGGCCGCAGTTCAAGGCCAGACAGAGAGCTTGGAGATTCAAATAAAGCAGTTGACTCTTGCCAACAAAGATACCATGAATGTCAACATGGTCGAAGTCTCTGAACCAAAAGCATCAGAGGAGGCCATGAGGCAAGAACAAGCTAACAAAACTGCTTTCCCTCGGGAAAATGAAAAATCTGGCAGATTTCCTGCAAAGATGCCAAAAAAAGAAGTCAGAAGTGATGCTGTGTCCCAGATGCAGTTCGATCTTCGACAAAAAAGCTGCTGAACATATTCAAGGTGTAAGAGCAGCAAATAAAAAAAGGGAAACTGTTGATCTTCGACATGATCCCTGAAGAGCCTCCCAAAGAGGTTCAAACCAAGAAAAGAGGCCACTGACTTTCAGGCCTCCAACTAATGTGCCAGTAGATACATGGTACAAAACATCTGGTCGAAAGAGGCCAAGCGAGGAAAGATGGCACTCGTTCGATGTGCCAAGAGGTTCATCTTTAACACATAAGAAAGAGCCTCAGGTTGTTGCCCCTAGAGTGACACAGGTGTCAAGCAACTACAAAGGGAAAAATCCCATGTCTCGATCTCAACGGAAGAGATACCAGAGGCGACGAAAAGCTGAGAGGGAG